GTACCAAGGAGTTGACGTAGCACGTTGCGGACTGGTATGCGGTACCTTTCATGTTTTACGAAATCAGCGGCGGTTTTTCCCCCACGACAATTTTAAAAATTGTTGCCTGACAAAAATTGTCTTGTGAGTGAATATCGGACATCTCATATCAGATTCGATATATCGTGTGAATGCTTCACGTTCAGGCATAGAAACTTGAATAAAACAAAAAAAGTTCCTGCTCCACGATAGAACGCTGAAAATTCCGAATTAGTTTAAATGTTCTGGAATCATGTCCATGAAAGGTGAAAAGAAAGACTTAGGGTAACCTATATTTTTACGGGACGACACTAAGCGTAGAGAGAGTTAAGAGAGGGTTCAACTTGGGACTCAGAGAGAGTTTGGCGGTAAAATGAGCTCATACGAGCGTGATTAAGGGTTTACGAAGTGGCTCTGGTATACAGAACATTGGTCAGAATGAATCACGCAGGTGATTGCCTCAACACCTCATTTAGAGAAACCTCAAATGCATAACTTTTCCCCCGCATTGCGTAACGGGTGACGAGAAACGATTCTGGATTCAGTAGGGGAAGGTGGGGCAAAACGGTGATAGTTAAAGAAAATTGCCAAAATTTAATACCAAGGAGTTGACGTAGCACGTTGCGGGCTGGTATGCGGTACCTTTCTCCCATGTTTTACGAAATCAGTGGCGGTTTTTCCCCCACGACAATTTAAAAAATTGCCGCCAGACAAAAATTGTCTTGTGAGTGTGAGGTGATTGCCTCAACACCTCATTTAGCACAATATCTGCACCTGTCGTCAAGCGCATCCATCTCTCTCTCTCTCTCTCTCGGTGCTTGGGCTTGAAGTGGACATCGTAACTGCGAAGGTGTATTCGACGGAAGCAGTCAGGCTTCTGGACTCCACACGGTAACACAATGTACAGTACTGTGCTGAATATCTGAATCCCATTGGATATAAAAATGCCCTGCTGTGATTCGCATCTCTCTCAATTCTCTCCCAAGTTGAACCCTGAGTCTCTCTCAAACCGCCATTTTACTCGAGTATGCTCGCACTAATTCCCAAAGCGAAGTGGCTCTGGTATACAGAACATTGGTCAGAAAGAATCACGCAAGTGATTCAAGGTGATTGCTTCAACACCTCAGTTGGCACAATATCTGCACCTGTTGTCAAGCATATCCATCTCTCTCTCTCTCTCTCTCTCTTGGTGCTTGGGCTTGAAGTGGACATCATAACTGCGAAGGTGTATTCGACGGAAGCAGTCAGGCCTCTGGTCTCCACACGGTGACACAATGTACTGTGCTGAATGTGCTATGCAGTATTCACATTAACACAATTAACTTAATCGGCGGGAAATACAAAGACTATGGACGAATAGAAACCTTCAAATGTGAAAAAGATGAATTTGTATCTGACGGGTGCAAACATTTGATACAGAAAGTGGAATATGAAAAAGCGAATATGCCCAAGTCATAACTTCCGACAGCAGGAGTAGCGCTCTCTTCCAAGCATGTCCTGGGTTCTGCTGATCTGCTGAAATGGCACACCCACTGGGTATCCCAGAAAATCAGTGACTTGTCCAGGTCAAGGACAAGAAGTAATGCGTCCGGGCAAGGAGAAGTTATTTTTTTTTTGTATTTTGTTGATACTCAAGAACTCCCAGTTTGCTTCCATATGATTTGTATGAATTAATGATATTCGTGTATAGTCGTATACTCCAGTGTTGGGTATACTTGCTAAATGCCTCTGTAATGTATTTCAATCCATATAGTAAAGCCTTTAGATGAGGCCTTAAATGACTCTTCAATAAACTCAATACCTCAAAAACTCGAATAGGAACTATTCAATAATTTCATTTCTTCAGCAAACATTTTATGGGTTGTATTACCCCATATGGTTTGAGTGAACTGCTAGGTAAGCAGGAGAGACATTCTAACGTTAATAAGTCCATATTCCCTCACCCATGCTAATATTCTCAATGAAAACATGAAGGGCTATCCTAGTGGTTTGAATCACATCTATGGAAAGCTGAAATGTAACTCTGCTGAATCGGTAGAAACATCTTTATTTCCCATATCTAATACTAGCAAGAAAATACATTTCTATGCTCTGTATTCGACTGTTCATTTCCAACTGAGATTGGTCGCAGCGTATAAAAGTCTAACGATTGAATTTTAACAAACGTTGGATCTAGCCTAGGTTGCTGAGCTCACGAGGTCCTAACTACATGCTAGCATATGCCTACACAGGCGAAAACATGGGTTAGGCCTTGCCAGGGTTACCATATTTCGAACAGCCAAAAAGAGGACACAGAAGTCGGACAGAAATTTGAAGGTAAAAAAGGCGGACATGTCCAGGGAAAACATCCGGAGGTATAGTAACCCATGGCCTTCCTCCCGGACGGAAAGCTAAGAAAGAGGACATGTTCTGGAAAAACCAGACTTATGGTAACCCTAGGCCTTGCTAAAATCGTATGAAACAGGCGTACACGCACATTTGCTAGCATACACCCTGAATCCTATAATGGCGGAAGACATGGAGAGTCCACCCCTGCCTCACGCATGCCAACGGCGTAATTAGTTTTCTCGCTCGAGAGGGGTGGGGATAAAATGAATGGAGGGAAGTCGAGAATTTCCCTAAATTTTAAATAAGGTGGTCAATGCAATTAAAACAAAGCTGAGAGGGCTAGAACCAGACTTGAGAATGTGCCCCCCCCCCCCCCCCTCCTTCAGCTTCTCTCTTGCTACGCCACTGGGTGCGACGAGCTCACGTACACGTATACGAGTATACTCTAAGCGTTCAATGTCAGGGCTTTGGCAAGCGTTAACAGAGGCCCCAACTGCACTGTATGATTAGTGATAGGGGCTACGGCTTGAACGAGCAAACGAGCTGCCAGTGCTTATAATCCCATGTTTCATTGCTTGATTGGCATATCACCAATACCGCAAAATTCAAAATTTTCAAGCGATTCAACGAAATTTTTGCATCCATGTGCAACTATTTTAAGTACACAATAAGAAATTCCTGGGAAGCACAAACCATTTCCAGATTGGCACGGTCCGTGAAAGTGCATAGACTATTTTAAACTGTAGTTATGGCTTCAATTTCTGACAAATTTTCAGATTAATTACGTCTGCTTTCAAATTAAATCCATCGGCTAGGAACCAGCTGATACACTCTTGGTGTTCTTTTCAAAGCTGAATTTGGTCTGAATTTTCATCTGCTTCCCAGTCGGAATCAGTCTGAATATACAGTTGGGATCCAGCTGGAAACCGGTGACAAAACCAGCTTCAATCCAGCTGGGAACGATCTAGGATCCAGCCGGAAACGACAAGCACAACTAGCTTCAGTCCATCTGGAAAATTCCAGTTGGGAACCAACCTTGATCCGGATTTTTGATCTACCTCTCAGCTGGAATTGGTCCGAATTTACTGTTGGAGTCCAGCTGGAACCAGCTAACAAAACCAGATTCAATCCAGCTGGAAAATTCCAGTCGGGATTTTAAACTGGGATGTTATCGGAACTCCTTGCCCTGGATACCAACATGCCTAGAAACGGCCATGTCACCCCTCGTTTTACCTGGTCGTGACGTAGTTGTCATCATGACAAGATCTTGCTTACATTTTTTCGTATCAAGCCCAACCCAACTTTAAACTTGAGGAAGTTTTGACTCCAATTGCCTCTGTATTCTCTTTAGTGTTGCTAGTTCCAAATTTGCTTTTCATAAGCCCATGGAAAGCGAAGGCCTAGACTGAAAGAAACATCATAATAGGCCTTTCAGGCCGTCTGGATGCTCCAAGCAGAAACTTCAGACCATCGATTACTTACTATAAAATCATCTTTGACCTTAGGAAATCCCTCTGGCAAAGAATATGATTTTCGTAGTAAAATCAGTCTCTATCTGCATGTTTCCATTAGAAACGCATTGAAGCATGCGCTCTTGACTCCCCCCGCCCATTTTTATGCTTCCTGCCGCCAGATGTCTCCAACTTAATGCACCCAGCGAATAGCCTGACGCGCGAGGCCTTCTAGACCATAGGCTAGACGGAAGGACACGGGATGCACGCCAATAGGTCGGGAAGCTTTATTTTAATATTGTATGAAAGCGATGGCTTTTGCTTTTGAGTGTTCCCATTTTCCAAAAAAAAGTATTCCATTTCTGAGAAAGAGTGAGCAGTACGAAAATGACTAACTTTTATAAGCCTTTTTTAAAATTTACATTTTATTCCCTTGATAAAGCATTCTTTTTCGGTCGTTTTGCAAAACTATGAACTGCACAATTAAATTTTTCGGGAAAAAGAGGCAAAAAGAGGAGATGGGGGTGACGATTTTCAAGTGGAACAGAACGGAACGCAATGGAACGGAAAGGAACAAAATGAATGATTGTGGAACGGAACAGAAACCGGAACACTCGGGGATCAGGTGGAACGGAACGAAAAGCGGAGCGAAAAAAGTTTCGTTCCGAAGCCCTGATGTTGTCAACCTATAGATGGAAGAGAATTTTCTTTTTATTTCCTTCTCAGCGTTGCGTTTCGTCTTCCCACGCTCTCTTTTTTTGCGAGGAATTCTTTCAATCGCTCGTCGGCTTTCAATTTTTTATTTCCTTTTCGATCAGTATGATGACCGAGAGAAGTAATGCAATCACTTCATTCATCGATATTCGAGCAGGTTAAGTGTTTAAAAACGGTCCTCTGGCAGGTCTCTGCAAGTGGTTTCCTTCAATTCATTCAATTCACTCAAATCATAGAATCGTGATTGGAATGGCTGGTTCCAGCCAGCCTCCATCGATGATGACGGAAACAGTGTCGGATGGGAATGCGCTTCTAAAATGAAGCAAACACGAGATTTTGCACGAATTTCGATTAGTAAATGTCATGGGTTTCTGCCGTAGTTGATGTACTCATCGGGCGAATACTCGAAGAGCTGAAAATCCAGTCGGAAAAATGCGCTTCTAAAATGAAGCAAACACGAGATTTTGCACGAATTTCGATTAGTAAATGTCATGGGTTTCTGCCGTAGTTGATGTACTCATCGGGCGAATACTCGAAGAGCTGAAAATCCAGTCTGAACTTCTCGTAGACTTGCCGCAGTTGGGTTTTGGTCAGGTCCATCATGTAATCCGGGACGATGTCCAGCGTGGAAACGAGGAATTCGGGCCGGGACAACACGGCCATCGTCAACGTTTCCACGTCCTCGTTCAGATTCGCTTCCGTGTCCTTGAAAAGTCCCAAGAAGTCGGATCGAAGGGACTCGGTTTTCAGGACGTAGTGGAACTCTTCGCCGCACGCGTCGCAATGGAGCCAGTAAGGCGAGAAGTGTTCGTCGTAGTCCGTCGCGGGAGTCTCGGCGAGGTACCGCGCGAATTCGCGCCACGTCGCGACGTCCGACTCCGGCCACGGGTTCACGAGACTGTCCTTCGTCGACGTCACGTTCCGGAACCGACTCACGATGTCCCGGGACAGGTCGAAGAGCTTCGACTGGGCCAGACCGAGATTGTCCTCGATTAGGTCTCGATACGACGCGACGAGTCGGACGAACGGGTCGCGGACCATTATCGCCTTCTTCCATCCCCCTTCTCTCGGCAAGTCTTCTTCCAAGTCTCTGAGGAGCACGCTTCCATTTTCACCGGGAATTACCACCTAGGGATGGGGAGAATGGATGCAGACATTTATTTTAGTGGAATTCTTCCCTCGTCGTGAAGGGGATTTCCTCTCCTTTCTCTCGTGGCGGTTCCCTAGTGCGAGGCTCCTCCTCTGCGTTCGACGACACCTCCACCACCATCTCCAGCTCTTCCTGACGGGGGGAGGGTGATTCCGCTCGTTCATTCATTCGATTCGCAAGTGCCGCTTGCATCGCTGCTCTCGTAACGTCTCGGGAAACAAATGCTTACAAATTCGCGAAGGGTATGCATGCGCGAATGAGGGTTTCCGTACCGAACAAATGACTTCGCTATCGCAATCACGACACTCCTACTTTCGAAGCTAATTAGTCGAGCTTCGCAGAAACGCGACAGTCTTCCACCATGGGAAAGATGTTCCTTGACGATGGGAGGACCGTAGAGTGTACGGTCAGTCTTCCTCAGAGATATTTTCGGTGCATGCGCTTGCCAGTCAAAAATTTTCGTGAGATTTTCGTCGGGTAATGGGGAAGTGATGGGTGATGGGGAAGTAGGCTCATTTTCGGCGAACGATTGGCCGGCCAACTCACACTTATGAGTCCATGTGGCTGAGAAGGTTTCGAAAACCGTCGTGGGATGGAGCCAAAGTGGTCGTAATAGGGAGTCACTTCCCAGATTCTTCTGAAATGAGTCCCCTGTCCCTTTGACACAGTTCCCTATGGTTTCTCGCATAGATCTCAGAGGAAGACAATTTGATTCCTTGAAACATTTCCTGAAGGTTTAACCTAGCCCTGGAATAAACCAGGAAATTCCGGCCCGGAGGTCCGTGGGAGGATCCTACTTTCCATGAATATGCTACGCGACCGTTTTCATTACTTGAGATAATGAGCTTTTTATGTGAAAGATATGCCTGACCTCCTGCGGAGGACAGATACCTTTGCATTTCTATATTACTCCTGTCCTGAATGCCTTGGCATCTGGAAGGGATGTTCCTTGAGATATATTCTCAGCTCATGGCTATAGGAGTGTACTTGAAAGGGGCTAAACTTACGGGGCTAAACGACGCATTCTTGTGTAAAATATGCATAATGCTGTAGATGTAGTGGATGTGGATGTGGATGTTTGCGGGGTTTTTTCCCTATATCTTTTCACTATTGTGAAATGCCGGCTTATGATTGGGGCATGTGCGGTTTCTCAAAAATAAGCCAAAGTTGACCCGATGAAGGCCCAACAGGGCCCGACAGGGCCCGACCATAAGCCGGCTCAAACCAACTATATGCCAGTGATGGTCCAATTAAGGCTTATAACGGGTGGCCCCCCCCCCCCCCAAAAAAAAAGCGTCCTGTTTGACGCTTTATAAAATACGCTGTGAATTATATAGGTTCATGATGTTTTGTAATACGTTGGAAACCGCACGAAATTTGTTTTCTGAAAGTTTCAAGAACCTAAGTTGTCTGAAAAAAAGCGACAGTTTTTCAAAGTGGAGTCAAAAATTTACATTTTCCGTGCATGAGATGGAAGGATTATCCGCACTGCTCGAATGATTTCTTTCAATTAACACCATAATTCCATTTTTTATGCCAGTTCTCATCGTAATATTCTGCGTAGTAATAATTCTGATGCTGCGATGTACAACAGTAGTACTATTCTTCGTCTTGTCGAATGCCACAAGAACCTGGCGTAAAAAAAAAAGAAAGTATTTATGGCGTCAAGTGAGAGAAATCATTGAAGCAGTGCTGAAACTCCATCCACCTCATGCGCGGAAAAAGGTACATTTTTTATTCCACTTTGAACGACTGTCGATTTTTATTCAGTCAACCTAGGTCCATGAAACTTTCAGGAAATAAATTTCGTGATGTTTCCAACGTGTTACGGAAACATCATGAAACTAGACCATCCACAGCGGATTTTATAGAGCGCCAAACACGACGCGTTTTTTTTTTTTGGGCCATCCGGTATACGCGTCAACGAAAATCCATTGATGGTCCGATGAATAATTTTTGACTGGGTAGCTTCGGCACGCTTGCAACTCCGAATTTTTTCTTGCTTGGAAAGCTTTCCATTCGAACCTGTTCGTGCTGTTTCTATTCAGTACACCGCTTTGTATATCTGCTCAAAGTAAGTAAATAGAATAATAAGTAATAATAATTAGCAAGCCCAAAGACGGCACTTCCAGGAGTAAAAAAATGACTCAAGGAATGGATCGATGTGTAATTGAAAGGACGGACACGATCGCAATAGTACGGTCGGCCTGCGAAGGTCAGGGCAAAGTGGGTTCGAGCAGAGTCCATTCTTTCTGGTCGTGGCCATAGTCGCACCTGTCATCGACTATTCGTTTCAGGCTGAACGAAAGCGCCAAGAGATGGCGGCTGGTCTGGACATTCCCCCGTCTTGGCAGCCCTCTGCCCCCCATCCCCCCGTGACGTGTTTGCTCCATACCGAATTCGGTATGGCGCAAGGAGTTAACTCCTCTCGACGGTCGGAGAATCTGCGTCGAGCCTATACTTTGTATGTACAGACTGGCCAATTTTTGCGGCGCGTGGACGAAGTAGGACGTACTTAACGATGTCGAACGTGGGTCGCGCCGACTCCGATGCCGTTCCACCGCTACAAAAAGAACTCGGACTCTCTTTTACCTTCGAACGGACGAAAACCACCGGCGAGACGGAACCGTCTCGGGGTCGTGAACGGTCGATCCATATCGGCGATTCGGAACGAAGAAACTCACATGGAGCCAGGGCAGACGTTCCTCCCGCTCGCTCCCGTACAACCGGAGCAGGAGCCAAAGGAGCAAGGTGCAGGCACTCAATTGACGAGGGCGAATTTCGAGACGATCTTCCCGCCGCTCTTCGATCTGCTCCCCATACCGACGCGACTCTCGTTCGACTGACGCAGAAGAAGAAGAAAGAAGGCGAGGGAGGAGCGGAACATTCACGGATGAGTCTGCATGCATGCCGAGAATTTCCACCCCCTTTTTCGGTGGGGTAACACAGTAACCGTCCGTTCCGCTCCTGCAAGTGCGGTAAAATGGAAGGAAATCCCACCATTATTAGTCGTCGTCTAGTTGCAATTACTCGGATTCATATTTATTCATACGAGTTGCGGGTTACATTTCTTTATCGCCGGACGAAAATTATGAGACAGGATAGACCCTCCGGTGGTTCTTGCGCAAGGCCGGTACGGCATGTTTATATCACCCGGACGAATTTCATTTTTTCCGATGCGGATACTTGGTAACCGGAGACGCTGACTCATGCAGGTTTATGCAAGGGAGAGTCAGGGTTTTATGGCTGCTATCGAGCCATTAATATTAATTGGATGACGTCACATTTAGGGGCCGATTTTATGGGATACGGAAGATTGTGCAAGATGGGAAAAGTCTATTACTTACTGCTTTTATTTTCCAGCTGAGGGCATTGGGTGACTTGCACCAGATCAGTTAAACTTGAACCGATCTGGTTCCATAATGGGTCCACTTCGGAATCGGATTAACCCATCACCGCGACGTGTTCCGGATCGGGGGACCTGATTTTTTAATGTAGATACGATGACAGAAGAGTCACTGGGTCGGGAATGAGGAATTCATCGCGTATTCACGATATTCTCGATTGGGAAGACGTAAAAATTCGATTGTATGAAGGTTAGTTTGTTCCTCGCTGGGAAAGTATTGAAAATAGTGGATCTGACCTTTGTCCTTATTTATTTCAATTCCTTTATTTCAACTCAAGTTTTGTCTGCAAATTTTATTTTCACATATTTGCCTCACATCTCTGTCGAGTGTCTTAAAAATTCTACCTATTGAATTTTCATTTTTTCCTTTAAATTTCTAACAATTGACAAAACTCGAAATTGCAAAAATATACAGATAAGATGTGTCCATATATAAAATGTATCCTCATTTTGGCAGTTTATTGCAAAATGCATCCTTTTGGTGCTTTAAGAAAAGGTGTCTGAAATGTGAATGTTTTTCTCCCAGGATTTCATATGTAAATGGTGAACCCACGCCATCTCTTCGCGTAGACGCATATTAATAAACGAGATGAATTGGAAGTTAAGCGGATCCGATGTGTGCCACCCGTTCCATGATGCCACCCGTGCCGTGGTGTCACCTGTGCCGTGGTGCCACCCATTGTGGCGGAGCGAAAGGAAAACTTGGATTTTGTCCCTCATCAATTTGTCGAGTCTTGCCTTCTTACTGTGTTCATGGAGTCTGAGGAACATGAAAACAGCAAATAATCGTTGCGTTTTCCCTTTCACTCTTCGAAATCGCCTTCCAATCGTCCTCAGCCGAGTAGAGCCAGTAGAAGCCGAGTATTCGAGACCCCCAAAGACGAGAAGAGTCCACGAGTGCCTCATTCCTTCGAATCGGTTCTGCGGCTTTTGTTCTGCGCTCGTCTGCATGCAAAGTATCAGGTCATCCCATAAGTAATGTCGTTTTTCTGGCATCACCTTACTTGTGTCTTCTTTATACATGTATCTGCGAACATCCCATGGAATATTTCTATGCTAACTTGTGCAGGGGTTAGTCGTCAATATACGTGCAGGTTTTCACGAGGTAACAGTGCTCCGTATTTCTTGGACACTAAAGACAAGATGGATGTGTCAGAAGAATACATTAGGCATATAATGCTTTATGAATTTAAGAAAGGGAATAACGCGACTGCAGCCACGAAAAACATTCGAGATGTTTATGGCGAGGAAGCTCTGAATACGAGGAAATGCCAAAGGTGGTTCCAGAAATTCAGGTCTGGTGACTACAGCTTAACTGATGAAGCACGTTCAGGCCGACCTATTGAGTTTGATGATGAACTGCTGGTGGCTACACTTGATGAAGATCCTGCTGTAACTGTTGAAGAACTTGCTCAGAGGCTCAATTCCGCCCATTCCACCGTTCACCGCCACTTGCGACGGCTAGGAAAAGTGTCAAAACTTGGAAAGTGGGTTCCACATGTGTTGTCACCAGACAATCTTAGGGATCGAGTAAACATTTGCTCTTCCCTACACTCTCGTGCACTTCAAGCGCCGTTTTTGAATCGACTCATTACTGGGGATGAAAAATGGGTGCTTTATCACAATGTTAAGCGTCGTCGACAGTGGGCTATTGCCGGGGAACCGGTGCTAGGACAAAATGTCGCCGGACACAATGTCGCGGACGAAATGTCGCGGACAAAATGTCGCCTGGACAAAATGTCGCCAGGACAAAATGTCGCGGGAAAAATGTATTGGACTAATGTTAACTAGACATAATATCGCTTGGCAAAATATTTGCCTTACGTAATTAAAGATGCGCGATAGTGCTAACGATCATGTTGGAATCGTGCGTAGAGGTCAAGAAACGGATCCAAGTGTGACCCCCTAGCATTTTAGAAGAACCCTGTCAACAAACATACAGCTAAGATGATAACCATCTATAGACAATAGGCCATTGAAACCATTTCAGGAAGCCTGTACATTCCCACGCCTCTTACTTTGGCGAGTCATTTGCAAGAGGAATGTGAATGTTTCCTTCAAAGGGTTGATATACATCTTGACATTTCTTGGTGGGGGGGG